TGGATGAATTGTTAACGACTGTAAACAGTATTTTACCACATACATGGCATACTAGAAGAAGGAGGGCATCTGAAAATGCGTGGAGTCCAGATGACCCTACTTATATTGACAGTATTGGAGTACCCAGAGGTGTTCCAGATGAGTATAAACTAGTGAATCAAGTTTCTGCAGGATTTGAATCTTTCTTATGCTGGTGGTGTACTATAAATAAAAATGTAGACAGGATCAACTACATCCATTATAACGTCCAGAGGCTGGGAAATAAAACAGAACAAGGCTTCTCCGCCGTCCATGAACAATTGTCAGCTACCTCTCTGATGGCTTTCCAGAACCGTATTGCTGTTGACATGTTGTTAGCTGAAAAAGGTGGTGTGTGCTCTATTTTTGGAGATCAGTGTTGCACCTTTATTCCCAACAACACTGCTGCAGATGGCAGCCTCACAAAGGCCCTTGAAGGCCTTCGCTCTCTTAACAGCAAAATGAAAGACCATTCTGGAGTTGACACAAAAATGTGGGATGGATCTGGAGACATTTTTGGTAAATACAAACAACTGGTACTTTCTATTTTGATGTCTGTAGCTATATTTGCCGCCATCCTGACCTTATGTGGATGTTGTTGTATTCCATGTATTAGAGCGCTGCTAAATAGACTAATTACCACTGCAATACAACCCATGAAAACAGAAATGTATGCCCTTATGTCCACTGAGGAACACCTATCGGATGATGAAGACAGCGAAGAGGATGAATTCTCTTTACACTTTCCTGACTTTTATCCTAATCCCAACGACAATAACCCACCAGTTTAAAGTACCTCTGAGTGTACCCTTTACAGCTAAAAAAAGAAAAAAGAATGATTTCTTAGTTGAAAATCTGAAAAGAAGTAACTATTGAATGATAAAAATAAATAGCTTAAAGTGAATAAACAGGAGGGAAATGTTGGGTTAATTAATTGTACATAAGTTATTCTACTTTAATCATATTATACTTACACATTTTGTTATCTCTATCTTACTCATATTACAAAGAGTGTTAAAACATTTAGTTTTGTTTGCTGTGTCATTAATGTTTTTTAAGTCTGTGCAGGAGGGATGCTGACTGCGACTGCTGTTAACAGATGTCGTTAAGGGTGTGGAAGAGAATGGAGAACTGTGCAACTAGATAAGGAGAGGGGTTCTCCTTATCCTATGATGTTGTATGATGTTGTATGATGTTGTACGAAAATTCTGGTTTCAACTGGGTTCTGTTCCCTCCCCCTTTAGCGGTTGAAACCACATTGTAATCAGGGCGTTTCTTCAATAAAGGGCTTGGAGAGCAGATACTGCTTCAGAGTGGGTTTGAAGTTGTAACTGAATGCAGTTTCTGATCCCCTCTCCTTGCAAGTAAAATATACTAAATTCTCTGTGTCATTCTTTGTGCAGGTTGCTGAATAAGGTGTTTGGTGTTCAAACCTAACAGGTTTGAATTGAGTTCATGCTTTACAATAAAGTTCTCAAAATCTGATTACTAGAGAACACCAAAAGAACTGAGCAGGAGCTAATAGGGGGTTACACAGTACTGTACTTACTGGGGAACACCCAGGAAACCAAACCCACTGCTTAGTTTCTTGGGAAACACAGAATAACCAAGCAGGAAAAAATGTGTGCTTTTACTCTACTTAAGTTTTCTCAAAACATTAGATAATGGTCAGGTAGTGATTAAGTAATTAATCATTCCTTGATATGATGATTGACTCAACACAGTCCATAAAATATTAGCCAGGCAAATATTTGTTACTCAGTAAAGTAGTTTTCTGTAAACTGTGAATTCACAAGTTAAGGCTGTGTCCAAACGTGGGCCCAAATCACGATATAGCCTTCAGTCAAGAGAACCTTCCAATGGTCCCCCGAGGCACAAACTGCTTTTGACAAACTAAAGATGTTGTTTTCCAGAGCTCCAGTGTTAATCCAGCCTGATTCATCAAAACAATTCATCCTCGAAGTCGACGCTTCCGACTCAGGAGTTGGTGCTGTCTTATCTCAGAGACTCGATTCAGACCAAAGAGTTCACCCATGTGCTTTCTTCTCCCGTAGACTTTCCTCTGCTGAGCACGTTACGACGTTGGGGACCGCGAATTACTGGCCATCAAATTGGCATTAGAGGAGTGGAGACACTGGCTTGAGGGGGCAGAACACCCGGTTCTTGTTTGGACAGATCATAAGAACCTTGCCTATATCCAATCCGCCAAACAGGCCAATCCTCGGCAGTCAAGGTGGTCACTATTTTTCTCTCGATTCAATCTCATCATCTCTTACAGACCCGGATCCAAGAACATCAAACCCGATTCTCTCTCTCGTCTTTATTCCACTGATCAATCCGAGACGCCTGAACCTGTTCTACCCGCTTCCTGCACTGTTGGGATGGTTACCTGGGAGATCACCGACCTAATAAACTCTGCCCTGGCTTCAGAACCTGACCCAGGTAACGGTCCCCCAAACAAGTCATATGTTCCTTCTTCAGTCAGGTCTCGCCTAATTCAGTGGATGCACAATGCCAAATTTGCCGCTCATCCGGGGGTGAGTAGAACCATCAACCTCATTTCAAGACGTTTCTGGTGGCCCACCCTGCACAGAGATGTTAAGGAGTATGTGCTGGCCTGTTCTACCTGCGCCAGAAACAAGTCCACACATCAACCTCCTTCTGGCCTGTTGCATCCACTTCCCTTCTCGTCCCTGGTCTCACATCGCAATAGACTTCGTTACTGGTCTTCCCATTTCTCAAGGTATGTCCACAATTCTCACCATTGTTGACCGATTTTCCAAGTCCTGCCATCTTGTACCCCTCAGGAAGCTTCCCACGGCTTTTCAGACCGCCCAGCTCCTTATAAAACACGTTTTCCGTCTACATGGCATCCCTCAGGAGATTCTTTCCGACCGTGGACCACAATTCATCTCTCAGGTTTGGAAGGCTTTTTGCTCAGCCCTAAACTGCAAATCATCTCTCACCTCAGGTTATCACCCACAGTCCAATGGCCAAACGGAAAGAATTAATCAACAGCTCGAATCCTCCCTTCGTTGTCTGACCTCCAGTAATCCCACCGACTGGAGTCAACATCTCCCATGGATCGAATATGCTCACAACTCTCTAAAGTCAGCTTCCACCGGCCAGTCCCCATTCCAGGTCAGTCTTGGTTACCAACCTCCACTTTTCCCCGCAGACGAGAGAGAGATTTCGGTCAAATCAGTCAACCACCACATCCGCCGCAGTCATCGCATCTGGAGAGACACCATAGCCACCCTCAACCGTTCCTTGGAAACCACCAAACGTTTCGCCGACTCAAAAAGACGCCCTGCTCCAGTTTACTCCGTTGGTCAGGAGGTATGGCTCTCCACTCGGGACATTCCCCTCAAGGGGATGTCCCGTAAACTCTCTCCAAGATTCATTGGTCCCTACAGGATTTCCCAGGTCATAAACCCATCAGCCATACGACTCCAACTTCCTCCGACTCTTCGCATTCATCCCACATTCCACGTCTCACAGATCAAGCCTGTGATCTCCAGCCCTTTGTGCCCTCCATCCGACTCCCCTCCATCCGCCCTGGAAGTCGATGGACATCCGGCTTTCACCGTCCGCCGGATCGTGGACTCCCGTCGGCGAGGTCGTGGCTGGCAGTACCTCGTCGACTGGGAGGGCTACGGTCCTGAGGATCGCCAGTGGGTTCCTGGTTCCTACATCCTCGACCCGTCCCTCATCGAGGAGTACGAGCGATCCCTCCCATCGACATCTTCTGGACCACCAAGAGGCGGTCGTTGAGGGGGGGGGTACTGTTGGGATCTGGAGCTGTACCACCTGTCTCCAGCAGAGTTCGCTGTGGATCCTCTTGAGCTGAGCCTTCGACACACCTGAAGCCCATCTCGTCATCAGGAGGATCCTCCACCATATAAGCAGCCTTTAGACCTTGCATCAACGCCGCAGTGTTTATCCAGTTTGGTTAGCAGCTGAGCCTCACTACCTCTGTGAATTCTTTGTTGCTTCTAGTCTCCTAGTTGGATTCTAATTCCCTTTTTGTCTCTGCCTACAGGAAACCTGTTTTTGTCCTGTAAGCTCTGGATGAGCTTAACCTGTCGAGCCTGCCCTCTGAGCCAAACCTGAAGACCCCTTCTTTGGATTCCCATGCTGCTCTGGACTAAGAGCTGGAAAACCAAGGTCTGTCCAAACGTTAGATGCAAGACGCTGAAGCTGAAACTGAACTCTGCTGAATCAAACAGTCTCTGGACCCAACAGTGCCTCTCTCAAAGCCAAACCCGGATTCTTCAAGGTAGATCTCAGAAGATAACATCTCCACATTCTTCTGCTTCGTGGCTAACTGAACTGTCTCCCTTTCAGTATCCCGTGAACCAGATTCCCAGACGTGAACCAGTACCTGACTCTTTACATGTGCAATTGTCAATAAACTCATTTTAACCTTTTTCCTGTTTCCCGTGGTGTTCTGCATATTGGGCCTCTCTGAACCAATCATGACATTAAATCCATTATTTATCAATATAGAAAAATACAAATATTCTGATTTCAACAAATAAGTTAGGTTTGAAACATAAAAAGAATCTACATGTTTTCCTTGTTTAAAAAAGAACAGAATAGGCTGCCCATAAATTATTACTTTGATGGCTCTTTATCATCCCCTAGATATGTATGTATTTTTATCAGCAAAGCTGCTCATAAAAAAAAGCTGTAGCATGAGAATGGATGAAGGCTTTATTTTTCACCACACATTTTATGCAAAGTAGACATAAAGATAAAGACCTGCATCAACACAAATGTGTATTCCAAATGTATCTGCATTAACCCATTAGGCTGAGGAAATAGGTGGTGCAGATGCAAAAAAAATCATTCCAATGGCGGCAAATGGCCTCAGTATCCTGCAGTATTTTTGTAGTATTTGTTCTGTACCTTTTAGAATGCTCTAAAGACTCTGGGGACATCTGAAAACGGAACTGAAGTATCATTAAAGCCTTTAATACCTTTCTGAGAGTCCTTGACATAAATCCAGAATCGGTTTCTCTTAGCATTTACTTCTTTAGCAGCTATCTGTGAAAAAAAGTTTTAAAACAGGGACAACAGCCCAGAGAACAGTTAGTGTCAGGTGTGTTGTGTAAGAAAGGCCTTTAAAAAGAATAGGTGGAACTAAAGAAAGACAGGAGGTAGAGTTGGAGGTAGCAGATCAAGACATTTTCTCTTTGATTCACAAGGTATAAGTACACCCAAGCTTCCCGACTAAGAGGGTTTGGACATGATAGAGGAAGCAATGGAGAGTACATGGGTAGATCTGCAGAATCTGTTAGTTCAATCTCTAACGTTGTACTCTCTCTGCTTTTTCTCATAGTAGCTTTGCCTCGCCTGTTCCTGTTTGGCTATGATACCAAAAGGCGGCCCCTTTTAGGAAACACACAGCCAGGCAGACGAGCTCTGAGCCAGCTCCCATGTCAGAGGATGAAGAGAGCACATCCATCCAGTCACAGTCAGAGAAACAGGACTACACTGGAAAACAGTCCGATTTCAAACATTCAAACAAGGGTGTTGATGGTAGCAGCACAGCTGATATTTCTCTCCAGGATGGTGTCACAGCCAAACAGGTACAGATAGTAGATAGTGTGAAAGCAGAAAAGGCAAAAGAAAGGGTTGTAAGATGCAAGCAAATTACTTTCTGTGTCAACCTCAAAAAAGGGGGGAAAAAAACAGAAGTAAAAGGTAAAAAAAAGAGTAAAATGGTCAGAAAATGAATGACTTCCACATTTTCTAAAATACCCAACCATTTATCACTTTGAAGTCCCACTCCTAACCAAATATATTTACTTTGTGATTGTATTGCCATGTAACAAAATATGAAAAATTATTCAGAGGTATAATAATAATGATGTTATCCTTCCTCAGTGACCATAATTAACCCTTATATGATAGGGACGGGTTACTAAATTTAGTCAGTAAACATTTCCTGAAATTATCTGAAATACTAAAATGGGTATTGCTCTGAAAAAAAAAAAAAAAGTCGTAGGCCTTACCTCACAAGTGTAGTTGGTTTTTTTATGGAGGCCGTTCAGCTGGAACCTGTGGTGGGTTTTGTTTTTGGAGGAATCCTAAGAAAAGTGATTGTTTCTCTTGTAAGTACATATAAAAGATGGATGCAGCCATTTTGAAATGCCTTATCATTTGGCTGCTACACTGACTATTGGCTACAAGTCAGGTTTATTTTTTTATCCCTTAGACTTAAACAAAGTATATTGTGATTTTTTTATACACAGAGAGTATACAAAATGAAATTTCAATGCATACAGTGTTTCAACAGTGAAATTAAAATTTTCATGTATAAGGGGCAGAAGTGATCAGAAGAATATGGTGCAAATGCAGTTGAAACATTGAACTTAGTTCTGTCTAAAAGTAATTTGGAAAAAAAAGCAATCATATAGTGCAAATATGATCCCTGGTGGCAGGAGTTCAAAAAGTTAATGGTGGCTGTGATATTATGATGTATAATATAAATATAAGGATGTGTGGAGGCAAAGTTGTCTGCTGGCAGTGTGAGCAGCAACGGGATGAGCAAACCACTTTAAGGACATGCAGTGTTCAATGTAATGGAGTCAGATATAGTGATTTTATGATTGACTGCAGCGTCAGAGTTTGTTTGGGCTACCCTATAAGTCTAGAACTCAATACTACTCCAGACATTTTGAATTGAGAAAGCTTTCTGGCTGGGAAGCAAAACGTATACTGTTCACAGATTAAATAACAACTAATAAAAAAGCTGCATTGTGTACAGAATCACAATTCATGAACCCCATTTATCTCCCATTATAGAATAGAACTGTTGCTTGAAGGAAGGTATAAAGCATTCAACTTTTATAAAACTGGGCAAAAACGAAAAAAAAAATTACTCTGAATTGTAGAGGAAATAAAAGCATACTCACTGGAACAATGTCGGTATAATTCCTATTTTTGTTTCCGTAGCAAATGGAAAAGTACCTTCTGATGCCCAGTTTTGGTGGAGCCAAGTTAAAAGTCACAGTAATGACAGAACCATTTTGTTGGACCTCAATATGCTGTGGGTACCAGTCTGCAACCATTTTACAAAATGATAACATGTAGAGATGATCAAAGTCCTTTTATGATTTTCCTTTTCATAAACAATGAATGGTGCTTCTCACCCTCCTTACACTGCTCCAGACCCTTCTTCTCTGCACATGCTGCAAAGAAAGAAATAAGTGGGATATGTTTCAAAAGGAGAATTAATGACTATGATGGTCTAAAAGAGGTTTAAAGATTACATTTTGCAATTTAATGTATAAGCAGATTCTCATCTGTGTCTGTTGAGGTCTAACATCATCAAATAATGTCAAGCCTACAGCTTGACAGGCTCTTACAGCGAGTGTAGAAGGAGATGTTTCGGTTAAATTTGTCCCATTGTTCAGGAACCGGCAAGGCCATGACAGTGACAACATATCTAGATCCCAAGGAGAGGTTGGGAAATGGGTCTGACTTGTAAACCTGTAAGAAAAAAAAAACAAAAAAACATCACAATTGGACGTGTTTGAAATATAGGACTATTTTGCATACCCAAATGGAGAGGCAAATAACTAAGGAATTGTAAGCCCAAATTACATTTCTGATACATTTTTGAAAGCCAACACCTTCTAGTTTCTGAATATATTTATGAAAATTGGGTCAGTAAAACAGCCAAGCTGCATCAAGCCCAACCTGCTATAGTTCAAACAAGAATTAAATTAGTTTTCTTATTCTCAAAAATAATAGGTCTTTTTTGAACAGCAGTGATAAATACATGCTTGCTTGTTTTGGCTGCTTTGTTATGTTTACATTATGACATCCTGCTATATCTGTATTAATTGTGCTTTGGTGCTCGCTGTGTCCATAAAATGACCTTGGTGGTGTAATTGTGGAGAATCTCAGCTTTCCAACAATGTCTAACATGTCTATATTGGTATATGTTTGGTGTGAGGGTTTACTGTGGAGTCAATGAGTTGATGCAATCAGCTGGTTTTCCTTAGATAGACTACTTTAAACCAATCTGAATATATGATCTGGCTCAACTGACTCTGTAAAGTGATGACATGTGTTGAGGATAGGCGTTATATAAATAAACTTAATTGAATTGAATTGAGGTCCATTGTAGTAAGTGACTAAGAGTATGAAGAATATCTGAATGAACAGAACCACTAGCGCTTTTATTTTGATGAGCTGAGGCACCCTAATGGAGCAAGCCTAATGAATATAGAAAAAACGTGTGAGGATCATTGTGTTAAATTTTGTCCACAAATAGGCCTATTCAACACAGAGCTCTGTTTGAATTCAATTTAGTTTTGATATATTGTTGTAATTAATAACTATAAAGCAATGTATAAACTATATGTAATTATAAAGCTGTGGCTAACATGAACATACAGTAGTGCTATGAGTAGCTAAACACTCACAGTCTTTGAATATCATTGGCTGACAATCTCGTGAATCCTGTAACATTAAAACATGTGCACTGAGACGCGTTAGATGACAATACTCCTGTTGGCAGCTGGTATGCCTTTCTGCTAATCCTCCTGATTATGAGTAATAAAGATTATTAATGAGAGCAAAGTATGTAATGTACAAGACTTAAGGAACCCATCTTGACTCTTTAGGACGTGAGTTTAAGTCTGTGTTTTTGGATCTTAAATGCAACTCGTGTCTGTTTGCGGTTCAGACAGAATCAAACAATAAATTTATCTGAAACAAGCTTGCATTAAAAAGAAATAGATCAAAACAGGATTTGTCTTACATATTAATTATCTTCATATAAAAGCAAATATGACCTGGGTTTTTATTCTGGGTTAAACCCAACTTAATAATTTGAAATTTCAGCACAAGGAATGCCGCCTTTTGCACCTTTTGAGCTTGTGAAGCTGAGTGGGAGACGGTTACGGTTACGGTTGAAGAGCAACAGCTGACAGGCAACAGCGGTGCTTCCAATACGCTGCATGAACACTTGAAATCCTCGCAAAAATGCAATTCCTGCAGAAAGCATGTCAAAAAAAGAAAAGCAGGTAGATATTAGCATCCCTGTTTATCATGTGTGCTAATATATATTTCTACTCTTGATGTAAGTATGCAGAATATTCTTATCTCTATAAGGGATTCACTGTATGCAGTTTACAAGCAGTCTTCATTTGTTTCTTGTTTTCTGAATTTAAAATCTTCCTTCTCACATATAAAACCTTAAATGGCAAAACTCCATCTTACATCAGAGATCTGATTGTTCCTTATATCCCTATCAGAGCACTTTGCTCTCAATCTGCAGGTTTACTAGTGGTTCCTAGAATGTCTAAAAGTAGAATGGGAGGCAGATCTTTTAGTTATCAGGCTCCTCTCCTGTGGAACCAACTACCAATTTTAGTGCGTGAGGCAGACACCCTGTCTACTTTTAAGGGTAGGCTTAAAACTTTCCTTTTTGATAAAGCTTATTGTTAGAGTGGCTCAGGTTATCCTGAGTTATCTCTATAGTTATGCTGCTCTAGGCTTAGACTGCTGGAGGACATAGGGACCCCTATTTCATCATTTTGCTTCATTCTGTCTCTATTCCTACACTCTGCAGAATCTGATTGTTTAATCTCTAATGTTGTGCTCTCTCTGTTTTTCTCATAGTAGCTTCACCTCGTCTGTTCCTGTTTGGCTGTGACACCAACCTGGAGAAAAATATCAGCTGTGCTGCTGCCATCAACACCTTTGTTTATAGATGTTGGAGATCAGCCTGTATTTCAGTCCTGTTTCTCTGACTGTGACTGGCTGGATGTGCTCTCTTCATCCTCTGACATGGGAGCTGGCTCAGAGCTGCTAAGCCTGGGCTTGAAGCAGGAACGAGATGGGCTGGTGTGGCTGTGTCACCGCTCCCCTCCCCACCATCCGGATTTTAGGTTCACTTATTGGGTCATCCGATAATCCCGGGACCAACCACTAGTGCCGCCAGTCTTTGGTCCTGGGACATGGCAGCTGGCTTGGAGCTCGTCTGCCTGGCTGTGTGTTTCCTGGACGGGGCCGCCTTTTACAGCTGCTTTTTGTGTCTCTGTTTCTGTCTCCTTGAAACCCAGTCGGCCTCAGCAGATGGCCGCTCACACTGAGCCTGGTTCTGTAGGAGGTTTCTTTCTGTTAAAAGGGAGTTATTCCTCTCCACTGTCGCTAAAAGCATGCTTAGTGTGAGGGATTGTATTTGAGTCAATGAGTCAATGCAATCAACTGGTTTCCTTAGATAGAAAACTTTGTATCAATTTGACTGTATGATCTGGTTGAATTGTAAAGTGCCTTGAGATGACATGTGTTGTGAATTTGGCGCTATATAAATAAACTGAATTGAATTGAGTATGTGTGAATGTGCGTCTGCGTTTTTTTTTTTTTTCTTACCTGTGTGGTATGAGTGGGGGCATGAAGTGAAAAGATCTCTGTAATTTCCTTAAAACGGTTTTACATACATTACATATTCACAAAACATTTTTTTAATGGTAAAAAGCATGTATCATTTACTTTTCAGTTCCCAATTCTGCACAAGTTTATGTTCATCTGGCACTAAAGTTTTAGCTTAACAATAAAATTTTGCCTTCAATGTGAAAAATGTACAAAAAATGTGAGGCGCCTCAAACCTTTTTGTAAGTCACCAGTGGTGTCAAAAGTACACAGATTTGTTACTTCAATAGAAGTATAGATACTGCAGTTTAAAAACACTGGTAAAAGTTAAAGTATCTACTTGACCTCTTCACTCAAGTAAAAGTAAACTACTTAAAATATAAAAGTATAAAGTAACCTTAAAATATATGAAATATATGAATTGAAAGCTCAATTTTTAGACTATTTCGAAAAATTCTTTGAGATAGGGCCAAAGATAAGAGAGGTCTTGTTTGTCTCCGTCTCCATCTCCTGAAGCTCTTACCTGTGTCTGACCTTTCAGAAATTTCAATATCTTTTTCTGAATCCGACATTGTAGCATAGCATAGACAATTCGCGTTTGCAGTTTGAAGAACACCTGCTTGCTTCTGATGATTTCCTTTAGCCAACCAATGAGTGCTTGCGTTATACGACTCATTCAATTACACTAGTTTTCACTAGATGTGGATGGCGCCAATGATCTTCATTGGATGGCACACATGAGGTGAAATAAATATTTATAAACATTAAACCAAAGCCAAGAGTAACAAGTGACGTTTGTTTATAAAAATGTAAGGAATAGAAAGTACAGATGTGAAAATATAATGAGTAGAGGTCAGAATTAGGAAGAAAAATAAGCAATGGATTAAAGTATAGATACCTAAAACATGTACCTATGTACAGTTACGAAGTATTTGTACTTCGTTATTTGACACCTCTGTAGGTCACTCTGACTGACAACCAGACATTTATTAAAGACAACAGAGTTATGTCACGTCCAATTTCAAACATGCTCCTAAAGGCATTAAAACACTTTTGTAATACCATTAGCCTGGTTTAATTACTAGCTCTCTGTTTTGTATGAGTTTATTTAGAATAAGGATTAAAACACTGGCTGACAAAGATCTGCTTTGGGAGATAAGGACACAAAAAAATACTAACCTGCAGCAGAATGAGACTTTAAGAGAGGATGCTCTAGCATACTAAGTTTTTTTTTTTTTTTAAAAAGCAAGAAAAAAAAAATGTAAGGACAAAACTTTGAATGGGCAAATTTATAGAAAATTTCAACCACCTCCTCCAGAAGGAGTTTTTAAGCTTCAACTGTATGAGGGTAAACCTTTGTGTCAACATACCGTATTGGCTTGGCTTCCAGGAGACAACAACAGTGTCAGACTCAAGGTTGTCCTCATCTATGAACTCTATTTTCAAATCATTTGGTGCTTCGACATAATGCATACAGGTCGTTGGGTCTTCATCCCCGAGGAGCTCCAAACAAGGCCACGGAAGACAGCCTGATGTGAAAATATGAGATTCGGTCAAGGTTTTTTTTTTTTTTTTTCAAATAAGGATGCAAAATGTTTATTCTTATTTATCTATTTATTTTCTGACATGGTGGTAAGTATTCTATTCAATTTATTGTTTAGTTGCAAAAAACATGGATCTATCCCTCATTGCATTGCAAAACGTGAGATTCAATTTGAATCAAACAGATTGATGAAATTAAATTCAATTTAATACGGTAATTCAATTTGATTAAAATAAAAATACTTTTTTGATCCAAAGGAGAAATCAAATATTGCTGTAAATCATCATCTTTTTTCCAATTAGTTGTTGTAATCTACGTGTTGACAGCTCAAGAGAGAATCATCAAAGTTTAGAACATAGTAACAAAAAATAGATACAATTGGGAACAAAATAATAAAAATGTAAGAGATTCTAAATAGAAATATTAATGTAAAGCTATTAGATAAGAAGAAAAGGAAGTATTAAACGCACATGGAAAATATTAGTGTCATTAGAAAAGAACCCAGAAAAAAATAATTATTGGCAGGCTGGAAAATTTTTCAACAATAAACACAAATTCCTGGTATTGATTGTTTATCTAAAAAAAACAGCATATGACACAACTGATTGCAATATATTCAAGGAATTAAGCACGTGTTGAGATGGAAGAAGGGTGGCGAAAATCAACAGTTACTTTTAGTATGTGGGTGTTCACATATTTGGAAATGGCTGTTATACTGGCTTTGGGTAATAATTGCATGAATGAGCAGGAAAGGCTCATAAGTTAAATAGGAATAAGGACTGCTGATGTTAAGAAAGATGTTTCACTTCTTCATAAGCTTTTTTAGACATAAGCACAAAATTCTACATTTAATCATGTATGTCATTTAAAAAAAATTATTATGTTGAAATCGAATTTTTTGAATAGAATGTCTAAAATAAACCAATTCATTCATTGAAGAAAGTGCAAATTTTCCATAACCATAATGTACCTGAGGAGTCCACATAAACTTCTGCTTGCATCTGTCAATTAAAGCAAGTACTTGAATGTCAAGAGTGTAAACTGGTAGAAGCCTGTGGTGCAGACTAAATGCAACGTACCTCTAAACACATGGAGGGAGTTAAAACCCAGAGTCTTCTTGATGTCATCTGATGTTACTCTGCAATATTCACATTCAGGTCTCTCCTGCAGAAAAGAAAGTTTACTAAAGTCAGATTCACTTTCACATTCTATGATTTACAAAATACACTACTCAAAAAAATGTAAGGAACACTTTGTAATCAGAGTATAGCATCAAGTTAATTGAACTTCTAGGATATGGATTTGGTCAGGTAAGTAGCAGAGGGGGTTGTTAATCATTTTCAGCTGGTTCGGTGTTAATGAAATAAACCAAAGTTGCACTAGAGGGGCAACAACGAGACGACCATCAAAACAGGAATGGTTAGCATGAGGCGCTACCTGAACCCTACAGAGGTTGCACAGACAGTCCAACTGCTCCAGGATGGCACATCAATATGTGCCATTGCCAGAAGGTTTGCTGTGTCTCCCAGCACAATTTCAAGAGCATGGAGGAGATTCCAGGAGACAGGTAGTTACTCCAGGAGAGCTGGACAGGGCCGTAGAATTTCTACAACCCATCAGCAGGACCGGTATCTGCTCCTTTGTGCAAGGAGGAGCAGGAGGAGCACTGCCAGAGCCCTACAAAATGACATCCAGCTGACCAAACAATCAGAAACAGACTTCAAGAAGATGGCCTGAGGGCCCAACGTCCTCTAATGGGCCCTGCGCGCACCACCCAGCACCGTGGAGCTCGATTGGCATTTGCTACTGAATACCGGAATTGGCAAGTCCGCCAATGGCGCCCTGTCCTTTTCACGGATGAGAGCAGCTTCATCCTGAGAACATGTGACAGACAATGTTATGCTGCCTGTAACATCGTACCGCATGACCGGTTTGGTGGTTGGTCAGTGATGGTCTGGGGAGGCATATCCATGGAGGGACGCACAGACCTATACAGGCTAGACTGCCATTAGGAATCGGCATGAAATCCTTCACCCATTGTCAGACCCTATGCTAGTGCAGTAGGTCCTTGGTTCCTCTTGGTGCACGACAATGCCGGCCTCATGTGGCGAGAGTATGCAGGCAGTTCCTGGAGGATGAAGGAATTGATACCATTGATTGGCCCCCTTCGCTCGCCTGACCTAAATCCAATAGAACACGTCTAGGACATTATGTTTCAATCCATCCGACGCTGCCAGGTTTCACCTCAGACTGTCCAGGAGCTCAGTGATGCCCTGGTCCAGTCAGGGAGGAGATACCCCAGGACGTCGTCTCATTAGGAGCATGCCCCAACGTTGTCAGGCATGCAAACATGCACGTGGGGGCCATAGAAATTACTGAATACATTTTTTGAGTTGCTGCAATGAAATCTCAGCACAATGGACAAGCCTGCTGCATAATTTTTTCGCTGTAAATTTTGGGGTGTCTTTGAATTTAGCCCTCTCTAGGTTAATAATTTTCATTTCCATCAAATGATGTGGCATCCTTTTGTTCCTGACCCATCACCCAGTCCATATTAGTATACATAAACAGAATGTTTTTTTCCCCATTGAGATCTGATGTGTTTTCAAAGTGTTCCTTTAATTTTTTTGAGCAGTGTACATGATCACAGACATACAGGAAAATGAGGACAATGAAGTTCATTATCCTTTTAAATGATATTCAGTTATGTTGAACAGTTAAGGGGAATTCAGCTGAGTTTGATCTTTTATATAACCAGTTGTGGAGTTAGAAAATGTCGTTACAGATGGCCAGGCAGGGACCAGGCAGGGCAGAGAAGTGGACGAAAAATTATTTCTGCCAGAACCAGTTCAGGGTCAATATATATTAATCACACTGTACCAACAGCTAAATGAATAACCACAGCATGTCAAGCTTGGAACTGAAGGATTTAGTATTCAAGGCAGACAAACAGTTAGATTTCTCAAAATATTTATTGACAACAGAATCAGACTCTTATAGTTCAGTCCATATCCAGAGATCGAGGATGGTTCCAACCAGCTGGCTGCCAATGCCGCGCGGCGGTCGCTGCACAGAGAGTTCCAGACACTGATATATCGGTGGTCGGAGGACAGGCAGGATGTCAGAACTGAGCAGAAGGACGTAGGCAGGATGATCCAAAGGGTGAAGTCAAACACTGCATGAAAAGTGAGATTTTCGTCCCCGTAAACCCCCGTAAACTCCCGCAGATCTGCCTGATTTTCGTCAGTTTTCGACAATTTGCAACCCGTGCTTGTCCGCGTTTGTCGTGCCACAAATTGTCGGAAACGTACCATGACGTATGTGGAGAGTGATCAGCTGTACTAATTGCCCTAATTAGCATATGAATGCAGCAAACCCCCGCGGCTGGCCAGGTCTGGCTTGAATAACCTTCTCAGTATTGGCTGAAACCACTATTCTCAAACAAATGAAATCGCTCGTGATTGGCAGCAAAACCACACGTGGCCACGCCAGGCTTTAATTTTCTTACTGAGTATTGGACGGAACCACTTCTTTTTAAACAAGTAAAGTCGCTCGTGATTGGTTGGCATATATATATATTTACATATATATATATTTATTCATATATATATATATATATATATATATATATATATATATATATTCATTCATATATTTATTCATTCATATGATGTGTATTTATGTTATCCTACACTACTACACAATTATTATGCTACCATCAAGGACATGAATGAATTTATACAGGAAATGAACATTTGCCAGGAAGCTGTTTATGCAAAGAAAGAGCTTTATTGAAACACACACACACACACACAACTATATACAACGCGTATCCAAACACATGCGTTTCTAAAAATTAAAACTCCGTGAACAGTCCGTTTGCTTCCTCGGGGTTGGAGGTAACTGGCAGCATTCCCTCCGAGGCAGGTCCGATGTGGAGACACCTACTGTGCGTGGCCCTGTACTTACGGCATCGCTTCTAACCGGGACTGCAGCTTAACACAGAGTTCAGTGAAATCCGGCGTACGAAATGGCGGCGACCGTACAATCCATCCAGAGACACCGCCGAGGAAGGCGGACTTCCAGAGTTCCACTTCCTCATCTGCTAGCACACTCTGCCTCGCTTTCAGCAGCTGGAAAAAAAAAATTAATCAGCGCACTGCGTATGGACACAACACATCCATCAATGCACCTGAAAAATAGTCACCAAATAAAGTCTTACCCTCTTTCTTCTGGCCCGACTCCGAGCAGATAGCCTCCGCACGCAGCGTGTTGGCTGGCTGCATATATCTGAAGCTCCTGCGTACCGTCTGAAAATACGTCTTACAGGCAGCTGGAAAACAATTAAATGAGAGTGGTATAAATAAAAAATCAAACGCAAGTCACAGTAACAAGGAAGGAGAAAACATCAAAACAAGTCACTTACACACAATGTCGTCTTTATCAACATCGTGCAAATCTGGACTTGCTGTATGGCTCCGAGCAAATAGGAGGTCTGTGAAAACAAAATGTAAAGCTATGATCGGTATCCATCCGTATCCATTGCCTTTTACCGCAGAATGAAAGCATATTCTTTAAATCTTACCCTGGCTCCGGTTCATAGCGCCTGCAATTAGTCTCCGAGTTGTTAAGACGGCGTACTGCTTCCTGTGAATCACAAAAAATACACTTTAATAAAGCTTGTTCTTGCAAGGCTACTATTAGCCGCTATTAGCCGTAGCTTAGGCTAGGCTGCTTTTAGCTTAGCAGGCAGTAATCGAACATATATTTACCGCTAGCATCTCTTCTTTGAGTTCGTCTTGTTCGATGCAGAGTCGCCATCGCGTCCAAGAGGAGTTTTACCCCGAAATCCCCCATCCTCCGCTCCAGACCGCCTGCACAAAGCAAAGCATCCATCCTCCACTGTGGCTGCACACCGCGCCGCTCTGAGTTTCTTGGAGATCGTAGGGAGCATGCGCGAGATGAACCAGAGTTTCCGCGGATCAATAAAAATAATTAAAAAATCATTCTTTTTTTTTTTTTTTAAATCAAGGCCTTAATTGGCACTAAAATTATTTAAATATGTTTATCGAAGTATTTATAATTCTTTAATAAAAAATGCTTATAAAAACAATTTCGTCAGATATATTATATCGCTCCAGGCGGAGAAAAAGCTAGAGGATATATATATACGTATATATGTGTGTGTATGTGTTTACATACATACAGGAGTCATGGAACTCTGCTTACAGCTCCTTCATATTTCATGTACACTAATAACTTGTGTACATGGTTCTTGTTGATGGCATTAAAATCATTTCAAATAGTATTAAAATAGCATTAAATTAGAGTCACTCATTCCTGTATGAACCCTGTGAGCGCTTAATTTAATATGGCATATTAAAAAACCCCCACCATCATCCAGCATATGTTCAGTTTCTGCCCAAATATATATATATATTTTTGTAGATTTTTGTAACGGGGATAAGGATCATTCAAAACTGCTTTTTTTTTAATGAACTTGTTCACTACTTCCAAACTCAGCATCTCTTTTCATTCCTGTAATAAGAAGTTTCTTTTGAATGGATTTGATTAAAGTTTAAGTCCCTCGGTATAAAATAAATATTTTGATGGAGATGAGAAATCTGCTTCCTCGTTGGTGAATAACCAATAGTTTGGATCCAATCCATTTAAATAAACGGTGTTAGTTTTTTTTTTAATATATATAAGAATTGTGCTATAATTTCTAGTCACCGATCTGTTGCTGCTATAGTTTAATTTGACGAACCGGAATTTGTCGATGTTCTTTTTCCTGTTTGGTGCGATTGCAATTGCGGATCTTGACCTGGCCGGACCTTATGACCACAGTGTACCAATCTTCTGATGGCTACTTCCAACAGGATAATGCGCCATGTTATAAAGTGAATCATCTCAGACTCATTTCTTGAAACTTTTCCACTTAAGTAATTGTGAATTGAGCATATTGACATACAACATTTTATTTTTTATCTTAAATGCAATTTTTTTTTTTATAATTACTGCTCTAAATGTATTGCTCTGTCAGCTAAAGATCTGTTTTGGTCTCTATACTTTAATTAAATAAATCAATTCAAGCTAAAATGTAAGAGGCTATACTGAGCCTGATCTCTTTGTATTCTTACCTTTCAGAAAAATGTCACTTGGTG